GACAAAGAGAAGGAGATCTAATAATTGGGTTGCAATCCCGAAAGACACACTGGTACACGGTATGCATAAAATTCAAGTCACCTTCGAGTGGATCGGATGGGTATCCTGGCAGAAAAGATTGCAAGACGGGTCCTGATACGCCAGGCAAGTAATTTTACACAGAAAAGTATGGCACTCGATATGCCATCCTGAAACTAAAATGTCGTGGGCCTATGGACTCGTATTCTCTCCATTTGGAACCTTGTTCATGCTTTAAAATGGCACATTAGGACTCACAAGGGACACTACCCAAGTGATAATTTCAGATTTTCACCGAACTTTGGTCATTGAAAGGACTCTCAAAGCGAAGTGAAACGGCACCAAAACTTGCGGCAAAGAAACAGATTTAGGCTCATAACTGGCACTCTTACTTCTCAGTGGTTCAGAATTATAAAGTCACCGCCCTATTTTCATTGGCTATAACTTCTCAAGGGAAAGTCAGATTCAGGTGATATTTGACCGAAAGGTTCATGAGTCGAGGAGGTTTTTTCCCATGCCATAAGATGGTGCTGCATGCCGATAGAGAGTGCTGATGTCCACAGCAGCGCCACCTATCTACTTGCTATGTCATTTTTTAGGCATGGGGAAAAAATCTGTTAAAGCCTATGAATCCCTCTGCCAAATAACAGCTGCATCCAAGAGTTACTTCAATAGATATGGCGAAACGAATTTGGATTCTGACTTGTAACAATTGAACTTGGTTTGGTCATAACTTTTAAAGAAATAGTAAGATGCAGCTGATGTTTGACAGAGATGTTCATGGGTCCATGACCTATTCGTTCCCTTGTCTGGCACATATGTGTACATATTGACAGAGGGCGCAGTGATTGCATATGCGAAGGTGAAACGTGAAGGAGCACGAGGCTCTGTACTCGCCGGTTACGAATGGGACCGATCAGATAGATTAACGTAAAAAGGAACAAGTGTTGCGAGGAGGAATTCATTGCTGGGTAAAAGATTGCCACAGTTAGTCGAGAACAGTCAGACGAGATTGCTCTCCTGTAGGAAGAAACCGAAAAAAACGCTCGGTGCTTCATCTTTTTCAAGTGCTGAAGCTACCCCTGAGCAGCTGCCGGTTTTTGCATAGAGTTCCATCTTAAACTCTTAGTCTTCGACCCAACCTCCAAATATTGTTCTCAAACCGTTGCCGTTAAACGAAACCGAACCATTGTCAGAGGTAAAAGAGGCCAGGCCTACGCCGGTAACCCTCAAATTCCTTCTCCCTCTTATTTCTTGCCTCTAACTCTTTTAGGCCTCTTTTAAGGATGGCTAACATCCTTTTGGTCAAAGGTGAAAATATAAACTTGCTGTTGTACCTGTCCGTCTTCCAGTCCTGGTTTGGAAACAACATAAGGTTAACCCCCACAAGGTAAATTCAAACATGAAATTAACTTTCCTTTTTGCAAACCCTAAGTATCATGAAACTATTGCATTCCGATGCATCGTAAGTTCAGTTGGCGCATGCTTCTAAGGATGCTTCTATCCTCTTGCACAATGGAATTCTTTATCGGCTTTGGGAGAAAATAATGCCAAAATGAAAAAAGTCAAGGTTTCTGCATATTTACAAAAAAGTATCGCGTGCTATGTAGGCTCCAATGGATTTTTAAAAGGACCAAAGAATTGGGCCTTCATGATGCACGAAATAAACGTGAGGATATTTTGATATTCTTGAGCTATTGGAAAATTATGCCGGGATTTAATTTTAACTTAAATCGCATACACAAACGTATCGGAGCAGTATTCACGAAACTTCCTCGCTATGATAATGAGCCACCCAAAACATAACCGACCTCGGGAGCTGGGAACCCGATCGCCGGGTGGAAGGCAACGGGCTCATCGCGCTGGCAGCATGACGCAAGAGTCCTGTGCAAACTTCCTGCGCGTTCCATGCCATTCATTTTGCTCTTACAGGGCGTTTTAATATTATTGGAGATTCCGCCGAATCTTGTCGTGAAACAAACTACCTTGTGGTTTCAGAAATGTTAAGTAACCCCCTCGAGCAACGAAACGTCATCGATTGGAAAGATCCAATGAAGTCGGATTTTCTGCCGAAGTCATGATGATGATCCAACGAGAAATATCGAGTGAACTGGGGCACATTTCTACTACAAACAGCAATGGCGAACTTTATGCAAAAGCCCTGCAACTACTCGAGAGCAGCTTCAGCACTTGAAAAAGATGAAGCACCGATTTCTTCCAACAGAAGAGCAATCTCGTCCGACCGTTCTCGACTAACTGTGGCAATCTTTTGCCCAGCAATGAATTCCTCTTCACAGTAATCGACCTG